GGGGGGGGACGGACAAGGCTCAAATGTCCACTTTTTATCTAAAGGTCCGATAGTTTTCCAAGATGGGTGATTCGTATCACCAGCGCGGTGCTGGAATACATTCTGATGTAGGTGTCAGCCATATATTTTGTTCCTTTTGAGGCAGAGCAATCTTAGCAATCATTTTGAAGCGCCGTGTATTCGACTTGAGTGTTTTTGACTGTGAGGGTTTTTGGAATGATCTGTCGATTTGCAATGCACTTCTGCATTTTATCCTCAACAATGAAAATAATTGGGACCCAGAGACACGTGACTGTAGGGGCGGGTAATACTGTGTTGCCCCCCTCCCCCTGCCAGTAGCTTAACGCTAATATAAACAGCCTCTTTCACTCCTCTTCAAAGAGGTCTTGTTCAGAAAGACGGCCAAGAGACACCACGTTTTTCGGGGACTGTATGCGCCGTATGTTGGGATACCGCCTTCTGTCACCTCTGTAAAATGAAATGAGTCCCGAATGCCCTGGACGCCGTCCCTTTTATTTATTTATTCATCTTAAGGACGTATGGGTTGTCCCTTCAGCCCCAAGGGGCTGATTTCCAAGGGAGCCCAATTACAATGACAAATAACAAATAAAATACAAAAAGTAATATAACATAAATAAATAAACATAAATTATATAAAAATACAATAATAATCGATGGTCATTATGGTCATTATTGAGGTCAGAGGTCAAAATTCCAACTTAGGAAATAATAAAACATATGATAACTGAGAGGTCAAAATTCCAACTTAGGAAATAATAAAACATATGATAATAACTGAACGTAGAAGTAATGAATCATATAAACAAATCAATCAAAGTAATGAAACGTAACAAATCATCGTTGTCAGTAAATCGTCATTAGGTAATCAGGTGTCAGATTGGTTCAGTTTTCAACCTGTCTTTAAAAGCTTTAAGTGTGGGTGCTAGTCTCAAGTTACAGTTTAGTGAGTTATAAGTTACTGTTGCTCTGTATGCAAAGGTACGTTGACCTGCTTTTGATGTGTAATTTGGTCTGTGTAGGAGATGTGATTGTCTAGTGTGATAATTATGGATCTGGTTATTATAATTAAACGTGTTGAGTAGATAACTTGGGGCTAATCCATGGAGACATTTGTACACCATGACACAGACATGGCGTGTTCTTCGGACTTGCAGTTGACTCCATCCAAGTGCCTGGTGCAGTTCCCCCACATTAGACCTCGCG